GATCATGTCTGTGGGACACATTGGGTGTTGTAAAGTGGTGCGGAGTGAAGTTTTGGAATGTACAGTGGGTATTTTGTGTACATTTTTGTGCGATCATTTTTATGCTTGAGATGTTTATATGGCCAGAGGGTAGAATGTTTTGGAGGCAAGAGAAAAAGAAAAGAAAGAGACTGTGCTATGATGTTTGATTGTGTTGTACGCTTGGGGGAGGGGGGGGGGGGTGTTGTCGCTGGGGGGGGGGGGGGGGGTTGTGTTGACCTGTGTGTGTGGAGCTGATGTAATGATCACACACACTCATTTGTTCCTGCAGCAAGTTTTGCTCTCAGCCATTTTGTTCCACTTGTCGTGGTTCGGCAATCGAAAAATGTGTCCCGTGTTTTACGATTGATTGACTCTATAGTGCAGCCTGGTGGCGCTCACGGCAAAACTTTTGTTGTTCTTTTAGAAGCACAGAATGTATTGTATATATATACAACATGTAATTTCTCACATGGAGGCAGTCTATGATCATTCTGGAAACAAAACGCAAACAAACAAAAATGCTTCTCTCATTACACAAGAAATTGATCAGATTTTTTTATATTCTCTCGTCATGGTTCTATTGTCGGAATTCTTTGATCTTGCAGAATTTGTACTCGTCGGTAGCATCAGATATTATTCCAGCCAACAGTTATGCGCAGCAAAAATACTTAATTCATTCATTGTTATACCATAATCAGTAATAGTCTACTACTACTTTTTAAACAAAACTATTCCATGCTTGGTAGCAACATACCCTGTTTTTTTTCTTTCTTCTACTTTCCTTTCTTCATTATGCATGCACTGGTCACTGTTGTGAGTAGCATATAATCCCCATTATCTCTTGTGTATGGTGGCGAGGGTGTGTGGTAGTTGTGACTTTGCACGACGAAGATATAGATAGAGCTGTGTGTGTGTGTGAGGGAGAGAGAGAGAGAGAGAGACGAAAGCGTTTGTGTATATATATATCGTTGTTGTCATGTTCCGCGTGGAAGGGCTCTGTGACGGGCGCGGTGTGCAAGGAGACGAGAGAGGCTATGGTACTGGTAGCGTGGTTCCTCTAGTTTATGATGCTTGTATGTACTGTATATACTTTAATTTACTGTGATAAAAACATACCAGTACAAACAAAACGGGTGTGCTCTACGCTGTACATCCTCTTTCACAACAAATTAAAATTTGTAATAAAATGTTAAAGATGCTGACATTCTCTTGTTTGTTGTGTGTTTCTTGTGAGTATGAGATGGTAGTGGGTGGTTGGTGGGTGCTGCTCTGGTGGGGTTTGCTCCTTCTTTCCTGTCAAACATCTTTCGTTCTGATCTCTCCTCCTTCGAACTTTGGACCTATTGGATGAGAGGCGAACACCGTAACCTCCAGATGAGAGCCCCCCCAAAACGGGTTTGTGGATAGAGCTGTCCCTGTGGTTTTATGCACCCCGCA